TTTTCTGTTTCTATCTGTAGCATACAATCCCTAACATAAAGGTCTTAGTTGGAAGTTCCTGAATGATGATAGGTGCGAAATGATATTATTCGAAACACAAAAATTTTAACTGTGGATTCATAAAAAATCAACAAAACTAAAAATCTATCTTATATATCTCCTTTTAGAAATTATTTGGTAGATAGAAGAACATCTTTTTGTAAATGCTTAACTTTCTGTATTAAATTTTTCGAACATTTTCACATAGTGCTGTTAGTACAGTTATAAAATCCGTATCTTATGTATTCCTTCTTAAAGGCCTTCTTAAATATCAAAATTTCACATAAAGTGCCACACATTTTCATATTGGCAATATCGCAATCTGGATAATTTTTTAACAAAATACTTAACTGACGCACCTTACACAATTTAAATATGCGTGCATTTTTTCTTTAATGTTACACACAAACCTAATTCTTAAATTTTATGCAACATCATGAGTTGCAAATGACAAATCTTATCTCAAGTGACATGTTCATGTGTAGGTTAAATTGACAGAATTTATGTTGTTAACAGCACTGGCAGAGAAATGTTACAGATTTAAAGCAGTTGATAAGAGAGTGTAAGTGGAGTTACAATACGAAAGCCTACGCACTCAGCAGCAGCACAGGAATAAAGGCTTTGCATAACCTCATCTTGGGCCGGCGACTATCAGGAGACGTAACAAGCAAGCTTTAATCCAGTTTCAGCTAAGCACATTACGTCGTTTGATTGAGTGAAATAAATTTTTCGTCACATTAAACGCAGTTGAAGTAAAATATTGGAGAGTCAAAATACATAAAAACTTAGAAAATATATGCAATCTAAATTTTAATTATTATAAGATTTTATTTTAAATGAGAAAAGTAATTAAGAGAAACTAGTTCGAAATTTATTTAAATTACGTTTAGTGAAATAAAAACATCGATACAGAAACATGCTTGATACTTGCATTAGAGATTAATAGATTAATGCCATAGTTGATGTTATAAATTAATAATATTTATATATATAATATATATCTAATCAAATAAATTCAATATTAAATTTATGCTTGAATAAAATATTATACATATTATGTTGAACTAAAATTGCATCTGGAATCGATCATCTACGCTTATTTTACTCCACGATCGTCAACTTTTTTTAGGAACGCTGAAGTTGCTAGTGCATGCTAAGATTATGTTAGTATTAGCTTAACTTTATCCTCTAAATATATTTTTGTTGAATTTATCAGATTTTTTTTTTTTTGTATATATTGATCAATACATGCATATTTTGTTTATTGATTTGAACTGATCTAGTTTGCTTTTAACCGAAATCAAAGATAATCAAGAACGATCGGCGTACAAATGTCGCTGCCAGTCAATGTCAGCATTATTGGCTTCGTAGGCAAGACATTTTGCATTTCTTGAAGATTGTAAAAGAGATCCATACACTTGTACAAAATCGTATATTGTATAACTTAACTGTATATGCAATGTAAGGTTAGGCGATGGCGTTTAAGATTAATGAGCATGCGCGCATGGCTTAATGGAATGCATTTACTTTTTGACATTGTGTTCAGATTCTCATCCAAGTAAACTATCATTTCGTAGAGTCAAAAATGCAAATCTAATGAGACAAGTAGAAGTCACAACGACATCTTACCACAAAATATTCACTTGTAGTACTCATAGTTGAATTGATTCTTAAATGTTAACATTTTGTTGCGGTGGGTGCATAACATGGATTTCTAGAGTACTTTATAGTATACAACAATTTACTTGAGATTGTTATATGCAATATACAATATAAAGAATTAAGAATAATGAAAAAATTTCAATTTATAATTATCGAGATAATTAAATCAGGGCTTCGAACCGGAATTGAACCGAAAACTGAAAAAACCAATAAAATCGGAACGGAAAAAATTCCAGTTTGAAGCCCTGGAATAAAGAAATCAATAAAAAATCTTTAATTAATATTAATTTATATTGTCACCTTCAAGATGGATTTCAATTCACCGACTTTTTTTTTTTAGTTGCAATCGATTCGAATCGTTTTAAGAAGAAAATTTAAAGTAGATCGAAGTGGAGTCAGGCGGATACAAACGCCTATATTTTTTTATCTATATTAATTTTATCTTAAATACTTATTTCAAGTATTATATTTTTCCTCTTAAATCATCCTATATCAATAGGATTAATACAATTAATGTAAGCTGTTACAATCGCTATATTTTCAGAAATAATTTAAAAAAATTCTTATTTGAATATATTTTATGTCTCATTTTTTTGGGGGTTTATTAGAACTATTCATTTATGTTACAGCAATTATTTCAAATGAAATATTTTCACTTTCAATAAAAAGACACCAATTAACTTCTTTAAGAATAGATGGTCACTTGACTCTGTTTAAGAGAATTCAAGCGACGGAGGAAGAATTTGCTGGTATCCGTCCTGAAGTATTTTAAACAAAACGGGGTGGTGTTGTAAACTACTATATTTACTCAGTGTGAATCAGATGAGAGAAAAAAGCAGTAAAGGTGCTAACTGCTTACAACTCTATTAAATCAAAATCCACACTTCAAAAGTGTTATATATATTTTTTAAGTACAGCTTTAAACGTATTATTTTTGAATTATATCAATATCTATTTATTTGATTAGTAAATATCTTATAGTGAGAATTCAAATTAGACTAAATTTTTGTGGCTTTTTATAGATATTCCTCCATTTTATGATACCAAAAGATAACGTTAACAAAACACCCTTGCGATTGAGATTACAATCAAATTTTTACTTTTAATAAATTGTTTGGATTTCAGAATTAGGAGACAATTACGATATATTCAAATATTATCCACAGAACGTTTTACATTTTTTTCCTTTTTTGAGGTAATTTTCAATGACTTGTCAGCACATGGCTGAGTGTAGCTCAGTAATAACGTGTTGAGATTAGAAGATATATCCGCATGAATACATGTAACCTTATACAAATAAATTCTCTCCTAATGTATATTCCACAATTGTATATCAGCTTATTTATTATCAGTCAACTATGGGACCTCTCTAATAATGTTTTTCCTGTTAACTACATAAATATATTTTTTGACTAATTGTTATTGTTAATTTGAAAAAATCCCTTTAGAAACAACTATTACCGATTAAGCAGAGATCAAGAGACATTTGTAATATTTCTACTTGTCATTTGGATAGTATTTTGTAGACATTATGTCAAGTATTCCCGCTATGAATGTGAAGTAATGAATAAGTGACATCTGAAAGAAATAGGTAAGTTAATAAAGTTAATAATCAAGATTCTTTCTATATGAAATGCTGTTGTATGTGTGATGAAAATGAATATTGCTCAACAAGAAATGAGTCCGCTTCTGGTAAAGAATTTGGAGTCGGCAAATTTTTATAGATTATTGCATTAAGTTAAATTATTGAACAAATAAGAA